AGGTGCCAGTAGTTGTGATTTGTTTCTCATTACAAATACATGTTTTTTTTCTAATTCTGTACTTGTAATTTTGTACTCTTTTTCTTAAAAACAGTTGCCAAATTGTATGAGCTTTCTTAAAACCCAGTTTCTCCCATTCCTAAAATGAGTGTGCGCTCTAGTCTTGGGGGTTTATTCTTTGCCAATAAAGCTGGGGTGGCTTTCCTTAAAGTTGTTCTCTGTTTGTGAGGAGTGGGTGGGAGGGCAAATTCTAGACAAGACAACAGTGAGTGGAATGACTCAGACAGGAAAGAACTTGCTCCAGATCTAAATGGAGGCTGGGAGAGCACTCGTACGAGAGTGGAGAAAATGATAACAGTTGAGGCAAGGACCAGGGAGGCCAGAAAAGAACTTATTCTACTTATTATATCCATGGAAGATGCAGAGCGACCAAGCTATAGCTATAATTTAAAGATGGTGCTGACTACTAATGAGAATGGACAGTAAGGGGGACAAGAGTAAAATCAGAAAGATAAGTTATACCCACCCAGCTGTCTGGTTAAGAAAAGGTGAGGGTGGCAACAGTAGAGATGGTGGGAAACAGTCAGATTGATGTGGACATCAAGGGTTTGCTGATGCATTAGACTGGATATGGTGGGAGTAAAGAAAAGAAGAAAAACCAAGGGTGATTTCCAGTTGGAGCAACTGGGTAGATGGGGTGTGATCTGCTGAAAGAAAGAAGACTGGCAGAAGGATGGTTTTAAACATGTTGAGGCTGATGACTGTGATTCTCCAAGGGACAGTGTCTGGTAGGTCTCTGGCTATCCAATTTTCAGGAGAGGTTTGCACTGGGAATTTAACTTTAGGAGTCATAAGCACATTGTAGATGGTTTTTAAAACTATGGAGATGAGAACAGAGCAGAGAGGGAAAAAGAGGAGAACCTACGGTGGAACCACGGAGAACTCCCAACCTTTAATGATCAAGTAGAGGTGCAGGGATGGGCAGAAGAAAGAGCAGCCAGAAGAGGGAAGTCAAGAAAGGACAAGGTGCCTAAAAGACAGCGAGGCTGAAGGCCACTGAGATGACAAAAGGGATAAGAATGAAAAAGTGACCTTTGGGTTTGGCAACACAGTTCAGCAAGCACCTAGCTGGATAAAAGGAATTTTAGCTTACTGATAGGACAGGAAATCAGATTGCAGTGAGTTAATGAGGAATTGAACAGAAACATAACAGAACATAAACAAATCTGTAATCATTACAGAAATTAAATCCATAGTTAACAATCAACAATCTCTCCCTCAACAAACAGAAACTACTGGGTTTTTGCTTGCTGTATCAGACCTTCAAGACATAGATAACTCCTATCTTACATAAATTGTTTCAGAGCACTGAAGAGAAAAAGACTCTCAATTTATTCTATGAAGCTGTTAAAATCTCATCATGTTTAGTCATCCAAATCAGGCAAGGATGTTAAAAGAAGAAAAAATTATAGGCCAGTCTCATTTCATTTCACAGATGTAGACATTCAAAAAAATTAGCAAACTAATYCAATAATGTAGAAAAAGTAATACATTATAACTAAGAACAGTTCATACTAGAAGGTGAAGATGGTTTATCATTAGAAAATGCATTACTATTAATGTTAACACATTAGAGGAGAAACAAATATAGTATTCTCTCAACAGATTCGGAACAAGCATTTGGTAAAACCCAAAATACATAAATTCATGATTTAAAGACAACTCCTAGCAAGCTGGGAATAGAAAGAAACCTCCTTGCTCTGAAGAACAGTATCTATTCAGACCTGCAATAAATATAATCCTTAATGATAGAAATTTAGAAGCTTTCTCTTTAAAATGAGGAACAAGACAAGAATATCCACTATAGTTGCTCCTATTTCATATAAATTGTCAAGACAAGGAAAAGTAATAAAAGTAGTGAAAATACAAACAACATTATCTAGTGAAGTTATAATCGTAAACAGAGAAAATCTAAAATGCTCTAAGATAAACAACTGTAATTAATGTTAGTAAGGCTGTTGACTGTATTGTCCACATTAAAAAAAAAAAAAAAGTGGTATACCTGTATACCAGTCACAAAAAGGTTGAATATTGTGATAAAAAATTTGACAGCAATCTAAACTGTAAACTACCTAAGACTAAGTATCTAGTGACCAAATATATACTTATATATTTTGTGAAGAAAATTATAAAATGTCACTGAGGTATGTTTAAAAAAAGAAATATAAAAGAATTTTAGTTCACAGAAAGATTGAATATTATAAAATAATTGAATCACTCAAATAAGATTCTAAAATAAAAAAAGCCAAGAGTTTTGAAGAATCCCCTTAACTAGGAGCTTCTCCCTGCTGGTTTTTCCTTCCCCGGAAGGGCCTGGCTGAGGAACAGCACTCCTGGTTTTCTCCACACTCATTCTCACTCTCTCTCTGAGGAGCACTTCTCTGGTGACTTAGAGGGCCAAACACAATCTGGACAGTCATTGCTTAGGCCTACCTGGGTCTCCTGCCTCTGTCGGAAAAGCTGTGGCTCTCCAGTTCATATTATGAAGGGAGGGTAAGTTTAATTTTGAGTGATGTCTTTGTAAGCCCTTTTTATTACAGATCTAAAGCCACATTTTCCAAGCAGCTTTATCAGTAATAAAACTGACATTTTGATTGTATTAGCCTGTCTCTTATATCCTCTCTCTCAAATGGTTCCAAATGTTGGGGGTGGGGAAAACATGCTATTTATTGAGTATCCTCAAATCTCAACCAGACTTACAGAAACTACATCTTATAATAATTAAGAATGTGGCACTAGCCCATGGATAGACAAATGAAACAATGGAGAAGACGTGGTCTGAAACATCAATATATATGAGGAACCTCGTATATAGAGAAGTGGCATTTCAACTAGAGGAGGAAAGACAGACCATTCAATAAATGATACAGGGACAATTTGTATCAGTACTAAGGTAGGCCTAAGCAATGATGGTTTCCCTCCAGAGTGCCTACCACAGAGCTTTACACAGAGATTGTGCTAAATAAATATTTGCCAGCTCACTTTTGTTATAATTATTATCATTATTTTTTCCACTTAAGCTTGATTCCTTTCCTAGCTTCCTTAGGCATCTAATTCCATATTAATACCAAATTTTGAAAATAATTTTGATATTCTGAGTAGAATTATTTAAAGAACTGTGTGTTTGCTTAACAGGAGTTCTACCAAAAGCCAGATGTCTAGAACTTGTCATTTTGAGGATCATAYGGAACAAAAATCAAAAATGTCAAAGTAAAGATCAACCACAGATGTCACTTTCTCATTATCTTCAAGGCCTAGCTTTATGGCATGGGAGAAAATGAAACCAATATTATGTCCTCTACTCTGTCCCTCCTCAATATATTTACCACCTAATATCTCACTTCATCCTTACAACACACTGGTGAGATGAGCAGGGCAGGGACTACAGATGAGGAAACCAAGTTCAGAGAGGCAGGACTTCAAACCCACACAGCAGGTTATTTAGGAAAAGACCTGGGATCAGAAGCCACTACTCTTTACAGGAGACCATGCTGTTCCAGTAGTCTAACTCTACAGGCTGATTCCTGGTCTTATGGTTTTGTATGTTATTGTCCTTCATCCAAGGATGGACCTTCAGGAATAAGTAGCTAGAGTCTACAGCTTTCCATTTATTTTAGTCACATAAATCAATCTAATGACTTCTTTGTATCAATCTTCACCTTTTCCTTTCTAAAAGGGTCAAGTCTTTTTTGACAAAGCAGGTTACCCATTATGTTACACTGTACTATTTATGGAACACCTGTAAAAACTGAAATTGAGCAACAAATATACCATATACTACTTATGGTAACCTTATGGTAACTCTTTTTTTGGTACTGGAGATTTAACCCAGGGGTGCTTAACCACTGCACCACATCTCCAGGTCTTTTTATTTTTAATTTTGAGATAGGGTCTCACAAAGTTGCTTAGAGCTTCTCAAACCTGCTGAGGCTGGCTTTGAACTTGTGATCCTCCTGCCTTAGTCTCCCAGGTTATTGGGATTTTAGGCATGTGCTGGCCTCCACTTACAGTAACTTTGAAACAAATATTCATGTTGTGGGAGTTCAGTCTTTTGAGAAAAGTAATAGGTGAATGATTAATAATATTCATGAATATTATTAATTACATATCAATAATATTAAAGATAATAAATTATATAATAAGCTTTAGATTATGACTTCCATCCTATTTTTGTGTACCTATGTCAATTTCCCTGAAACATTTGCAGAATTGAAAATTGGGATTTAATAGGTTAAGGAGTGGCTTGCCTTCATGGTACAATAGTCACTGGCACTAAACATAAGACAATTTTAGTATGTGCTCTGGTCTCAGACTAGGGGCTGACAACGGTTTTTTTTTTTTTTTTTTGGGGGGGGGGTCGGGGCACAGGGTACCAGGGATTGAACTCAGGGGCGTTTGACCACTGAGCCACATCTCCAGCCCTATTTAGTATTTTATTTAGAGAAAGGGTCTCACTGAGTTGCTGAGTCTGGCTTTGAACTCATGATCCTCTTGCCTCAGCCTCCAGAATCCCTGGGATTACAGGCGTGTGCCACCGTGCCTGGCACTCCTTACAACTTGACTTACTCCTCACCACTTTTCTCCCTTAAGTCTCATAGCCACTGACCCTGATGTTCACTTGACAGGCATGTTCTTAGCATGCTCTTCAGAGAAGTTCTAGGGGTCTGTGTCTCCTTTCCATGAACCACACTGGCTACCCTCCGGGCCTGCCTCAGCAATGCACTGTCCTCATACTATCCCTGGGCCACCTCTCCTTACCCTCCTTAGCCAGACTGGACCTTAGATCTTGCCAGGAAGAATGGCTGCCTTTCTTTTTCTTCAAATACCTCAGTGCAGGAGAAAACCCAGAGGGCAGGTGTGGAGCAACGTGGAAGTCAGGAAAGTTTTTCAGGTTCATTTTGAATTTTATAGTTTCCAATCTCAGAGATAAAGATACTCACCACCTGACCATTAATCCGTGCTCCATGAAGTTTTTCAGGTTAGGAAGTGTTTGTCTCAAGTCTGGGGTCCCTAGTCCATGTTGGTATCTTAGCTGCGAAGGTAGAAGAAGAATTAAAAGACATTTTGGCAGATTCTAGGCAACGCTTCAGCAAGAAACACTCAAGTAACTTTTAGAATTCTGAAAGGGGAAATGTAAATGTATGATCCTGATATCAACCACACTGTTGTTTACTATTCCCTTGTGCCTTAAACTTGGAGAAGACTAAGTGGCCAGCTAGGAAATCAGGATATTTAAGCCTTCTCTTCTACTTCCGACCCRGGTAGGGTTTGCTAACACCAACTCCAAGAACACATACCATGAAGCCAGTATTTCATCATAGATACTGGCAGTTTTCCTTTGGAGTAACTCTTCCTTCTATATAAACAAGGGTAGGGATCATCTTGTATTCATCTCTAATTCAAGTGGCTGGCACACTGCTGGTGCACGCTCAATGTTCATTAAACAAACAATCAGCAAGTCACTTTGACAGGGGCTGTGCTTTATATTTCTCTTGAGTCTCCACCCCTCCTTTTTGTCCAGAACCAGAGCACAGAGCTGGAGGGCTAGTCTGAGGAAACCACTGGCTTGTGGGCTAGATTTGCCCTTTGTTGGACTTATTTCTAACAGAGACAGTTTCTAAAATTAAGTATTCTTTGTACTACTAGATGTTTCCACAGCCTCCTTTCACTCTCCGAATACTATCATTTGGTTCCTTAATTGACCATACAGATGTGCATATTCACACGTTCATCTGCATCTCAGGTACACAGAAAGGGGACAACACACCCTTTCAAAAATGTTTTAGTCAAATGACATATATGAAGACAGTTCATAAACTTTAGAAACTGTATACTGATAAGACAAATGTGAAGAGAAATTGGTCTTAAGGTTTTATTTCTTCAGTACTTTATGGCTAAGTAAATTTTTCTTCTCTTAAAAAATAAAACCATTGTAACAACAAATCCCACTATTATGTACAATTATAATGATCCAATAAAAAATAATAAAAATAAAACCATTACCAACAAGAGTAACTTTTTTGGGGGGCAGAGGAGGTACTGAACCTGGGGGTGCTTAACTGCTGAGCTTCATCCCCAACCCTTTTTATGTTTCATTTTGAGACAGGGTCTCACTCAACTGCTTAGGGCCTCACCATATTGCTGAGGCTGGCTTTGAACTCACAATCCTCCTGCCTCAAGCCTCCTGAATGGCTGGGATTATAGAACGGGCTACCATGCCCAGAGTAATTTTTCTATTGCTTGCATCTAGTATTCAGTTAATTCTTCTCTGGGTGTGTGTGACACTTAACAGGAAGAGTTCACTCTCACTGATACTAAGCTTTTTAAGGAAAACTCCAAAACATAATGGGGTCTCCAGAGTGGGCTGAATGAATACACACACAAAGCAAGGGAGAAGAAACATACAATGTTAAAATTAAAAGGTAGCTTGAGTATTATTGAAGCCAATCTTTTCCTTTTGCAGAAGGGGAAACTAAAGCCCGGAAAGGGGAAGCAAATTCTCTAGGGTCACAGGCTAGATAGCACAGATAACAATTAGCTAGGGCTCCTGTTCAAAATCCATGCTATTCCACCACCACCCCAAAGTCTGAGAAGAAAATTGCTAACGGTACTTGAGAAGACAGAGGGAAAATATTCTGTTTCTTTTTCAAACCTAGGCTTGGTGACCTAAATCACCTCCTGAGATTTGCTGACCTTGAATTATAAGATCTATCCCATGTTAAATGACATCATTTCTTACATTAATATAAAGGCATTTTCCATACATTGATAAAAGCAAAATGGCTGATATCCCAATATGACATTCCTGAATTCATTGTTTCAATAAAGAAGTGAAATTGTTTACACATGGCATGAAAATTTCACCTGTGATTCATACTGAAAAATATTAAATATAAAAAAACTCATACCGAAATAACACCAAGCTATGTGTCTCTGAGCCAGTACACGGTCAATTGCCTGCCTTAGGCTCCACAATAGAAGGTGGGTGTTGAATTCTTTTCAGAGACCACAGTGAAACTGTCTCTCCAAGTCTGATTTCAACCAAAAATGGAATGGAAAATGTAAGAACTTCAAGTCTCCACCCAGGTCTTAACTCTTTAATTACTGTAGAGCACTATCTTTTATCATAGTCTATTAGGATTTTATAGCTTAAAGAAACCTTGGATATCATCTTTCCAAACTCTGTCCTTCTATAAAAGAAGAAACAAAGGCTTAAGGCACATGTCCGGACCAAAATGACAGAACTGATGAGGGCCAAAGCCAAGGCTACAACCTCTTAATTACAGCTCCAAATTCTTTCTACTATTTCATCTTTTTAGTTTCCCACATAGAGAACTAAAAGAAATGTACACATAATATAAATTTAATTTTTATTAATAAAGTACATGGACTGTTTAAGAAGTCTAAATATATGGTTTGTGTTTTCCTTTCATCTTTCTAGATAATATGTTCATGTTAATATTTTTATTCCATCCACTTTAGGTTTCATCTACTGTGTTTCTATCATAAAAGATGAGAATTTAAGCTTTCTTACACCACTCTTCTCTCACACATTTTATCCTTTCTTCCATTCATTATCTGCTGATTTTTTATTTATGAGAATTTGATACTCTACCCTCCCATAATACTTCCCTTCCTCATCCTCTCAATATATTCAATATCTCATCTTTCATTAAATCCGTATTTAGTGTTCACTTCATCATACTTACTTACACAAATACTGCTCATGACTGAGCAACGTAATGTACTATTCCTTTCTTGTACTTTTTTATTGTTTTTCTGGTAGTGATAACTGCCATTTTTTTCTCCACTTGTTGGATTTTTCTCCGTACCTATTGCTACATATTTCCCAAACACCCACAAAGCCTTAAAACTCTTCATTTGATTGAATATACCATATAATCTCTCAAGTCTACCTTTCCCCTTAGAAATTTATTTCCTGAAACCTGTGTGGATCACTTCACTTCTTAGAGGTACATTTTGTTTATTTGTAAAATATGGATGGTTACTTGTCTTGCACATCTTAAGATAAATAGTGTCCCAAGCAATAACTGGTACATATCAGTGCTTGCTATACAATATTTACTATTATTATTAATACACATATACTCACTTTCATCATAGCATCTACAACTAGGCTAGGCTGGCTTAAAACTGATACTCAATAATAACTTATTATTTAACTAATTAGAATGGGAATCAGAAAAAGATGAAAAAATGAGTTATTTTGAATCAAAGAGAAAGACCTTGAACATACTGCTCACTACTTTTAAATGTTAAGTTTTACTAAGCCTCTGACTAGAGAGTCGGCAGTAAATACACACACGTCAATGTCTTCAAAATAATTACCTAGTGAATGGAAAGACTGACACATGCTGCGTGTGGTCAGAAGACCTGGGTGACAGACCCGGCTCTACTGTAAGGACATGTGCAAATTCCTCCCTTGCTTGGGTTAGTCAAATAATTTTCCAACTTTTAAAATTAAGTAATCTTTAACAAGTTACCCTGGTAAGGTATTATCAAAAATAGAAAGGAAAAGAAGGACCCAAGCCAAGGAGAAAAGGACAAGGTTAGGGAAAAAGGGAAAAGGGAGAAAGAACTATATTTATTACATTCCTACATGTGCTATTCCTTCATTCAATAAATATCGACTGATGTCTACTAGGCTAGGCTGTGTAATCTGCTCTTTGTATTTGGAACCACAGGCCTGGACTGAGCCGGTTCTCACCATATAATACCTTGAGCTTGTTGCATAACCAGTTAGTGCCTTCTCTAAAAAACAGCCAACAATATTTGTTTCATAAAATTGTCGTAGAGCTTAATTAGAATTTTATAGAGAATGGAAGCTCCTGAAGACTGACTTTTAGAGGATACTGGTTAAAACTTTTGGGCCTAGAGTGCTAAGCTGAAAGAGAACTAATGCCAGGGCTTTAAAGGGGAGAGTTTTAAAAGAGGAAAACAACTCCAGAGGCAGCTGTGAAGGACAGGTTAAAAGATGTTCTCTTTCCTCTAAGGGATCTTAACTTGGCTTCCATCAAAACCTGCCCTTAGCAACTATGATCAGTATCACACTTCTCTAAGCATGGGTCCTTCTGCTCTCTCTTCTGATGGGAAGGCAGATGCCAAGAAACCGAGGCAAATAAAACATTGCTTTGGGTCTAACTGCCTCAAATTAGCCTCTGAAATAAACACCTTTTGTAACAACTTCCTACTGCACTACCACCCGGAGTCTGAGTAGTTTTTAAGTGGAATTTTGGTTTCAATTAGCTTAGACTTCAGCTTTACTCTGATTGGCTTAGGACTGCATGGAAGCAATTAAACTTTTGTTCAATTCAATGGCTGGTAGGYAACTAAGGCGAAACCTACATACAGATAATAAATTAGATGGGAAGTGGGGAGAAACAATGTTCAGTGGTTTCGCAGGGAAGGTTAACAAATGGTATTGTCTACTTACTAGTAAAAGAAAATCCCCACATTTACTAAAACAGCCAGGAGGATCTAGCTTTATAGTTACTGGAACAAGCAGAAAGAAAGAAAACTAGAGCTAAGAGCACATTTAGACCACAACATACAACTATAACCATGTCAATTCCATTAACTACCTTTTCTGTTTTCCTTTCCCACACTCTTTTCTGTATAAAAATAGTGTATTTTTCCCAGGCCACGTGCTGGTCTCATCCCTAATCACTATAGATTTACTGTGAGTTGCACCAAATAAGGTAGATCAACTGTGATGTTAGAGCTATCATGATTTGGAATTAATTAGTTCACGCAGCATGATAAATGTGGCTACCTTGACTAGGAAAAACCATTGCAGCTCTGGAGATCATATTTAAACATAAAGTGTGACTGTACTTCTGAGAAATAAATGCTGTGTTCTTGTACTCAGCATACTCTTATTGAGCTGAGAAGTCTAATTTAATATCAAAGTGCTCAATTTTATTTTTATTTTTCAAAACACAAATTTTCCAGGCCAGGAAAGACTCTGGGGATTCAATAATCATTTTGTCATTTAAGTTTTGGCAGAGGAAA